ATCCGATCAAAACTGCAACAGAAGATGCTCATGAGAGTGGTCCCTCGGAATCTCATTCATTCAACCAATAACTATTTATTGAGCACCTACTATGTACAGTACAGGCTCTGGAGATATAGCAATGAACCAAATCAAATCTTTTCATTATAATTGGGGTTGGAGGTGGGGAGACAGAAAACAAATAGCTGCCCAAAGAATAGAAAAGTCATCCTCAGAAGTGAGGACTGCAGTAGACTGGGGGAGCTTGGTCTTCTTCTAATGGGGATACCTGATTCCCAGCTCAACTCTTTGTTGTCATGTAGGCATGCAGTTCCACGGCAGTGAGATATTCTGAGTTTTATATGTTGGCAACTCATTTATATTAAAAATTCCAACCCTATGTGAGTGGATCAAAACACATCGGTGGGCTCGAGTTGTCCTAAGAAGCTCTAATTTGTAGCCTCTGAGCTCCCTCTGGGGTAGCAGGAGGGTGGTGAGATGGGGGTAGGACAAGCAGGGGCACAGAAGGCAGCAGGAGCCCCGTGCTTCTGGGATGGGCTGTATGGGGGCTCAGCATCTGGGCATGACCGTCACTGCTACTATCTTGAGGTGTCCAGAACGGGCCACCCAAGGCCAAGGGGATGGTACTGGGCAGGCTGTTTCCATGGCCGGGGTCAGCCTGCCCCATGGCTGCTGCAAGGCCACTTCCCTTTCCTTCTCTGTCTCTCACACTCAGTCCTTGACAGTGGGACAGTCCAGGTAAGGCAGCCTTTTTGCCTGTCCTGAAGTAGCCTTCACTGTACGCTCATACCCCAAAGATTCAAAACACTAGGTGTTTAAAGAAACCCAAGGGTCACCAGGCAGGACTCATTTTCATCACCAGAATCTTCACAATGATTTACATGTTACCTGATTTCATTCAAGGTGAACATAAGTTGGTCATCTTTGATGTAAAACTGAGCTTCTGAGCTGGCTTCCTGCAACAAGAGAAACCCAGGCCCCATTTCTTTTAGAGGATCTGTCAATGGTGAGGTGTGGGGTTATGAAAGGAGGCTTGAGATCAAGCTGAAACTTGATTCTCAGCTACTGGCTCTGTGACCTTGGGAAAGGGTTTGACCTCTCTGGGCCTCACTTTCCTCATCTATTAAATGGGATAGTACCTGTACCCACTCCTTACTGAAGCGATTACCACGTAGGATCGTGAGGAATGATGATGACGGCCGCCAATATGCATGGAGCCCTGTGTGTCAGGCAGTGTTTAAAGAAGTTTATATGATTGCCTCCTTTGCCTCCTTTGAGCCTCACAACCCTATAAAGTGGCTCCTATTATTTTTCCATTGTAGAGGTGAGGAAACTGAGGGACAAAGATCAGTAACCCCCAGTAATGTTAATCATTATTATTGTTGAAAAGGTCAGAAGCACAGCCAGGTGTCAAATATACAGGTGCTAAATATATATATCAATTTGACCTGTGGGCTGGAGTGAGCCTGAGGGCAGAGTGCCAGGCTCCAGCTCTAGTTCAGCTGCATCCAGAGAATAAACTTGTCCTGCAGGCCTGGTCTTGGTGGCCTTCTGAAAAGTGCCTGCCATTGGCCATGGAGGGGCCAGGTCATCAGGGAGTGAGGCTGGCCTGGGCAGTTCTTTCCCACTGCTTATCGGGGGTTCAGAATACAGGAAGCCAGGACACTGTGCTTTGTGAATGGCACCCCTGAAATTGCATGTGGATAACCACAGCTGTATGCAGCGACTCTGCTGTAAGGAGAGTGTCAACATTAGCCTCCCACCGACATTCAGGTACTGTCCAGGTTCCTTGGTTAAGCATGATTCCGGCGCCCATACATGAGTCCTGAGTTGTCTCTCTTCTCTTTACCCCCCGTAGTGGGTGTGGTTGGTGCCCCACTCAGATCCTCTCCATAGGGCAGGGCATCCATCCCTGTGCTGCTGAGTGCTGCAGCTAATAGTCCACAGCTGCCCCGTCTCTGGAGCAATGCCCTTGTTTGAACAGATTGCCTTACTGGGAGATTATGTCCCTCCTACCCCTGGGGATGGTTAGTGGCTGGTAACCAACTAACAACAGAGTGCAAAAGGCCTGACTGACAAAAAAAAGTTCCAGGATTAGAGTTGGGCCCCCAAAGCTCCTGATTCTTGGTTTTGAGCTTCCCCCACTCCAACCCTGCTGGGTAACAAGAGTGGTGGAAACGTTTAGCAAGGCAAGAGGGGTGAACAGGAACAGTGAATGGCAGGGTCACCGAGATTGCTGCCAATGTCACAGGCAATTGAACTCACAACGCCCAGGGTGAAGAAGGGGCGGCGAACTTTACTGGTGGCGAATACTTCCAGCACGATCACTTGGGTCACCTTGGCACTACCATGGTCCAGAAGGAGCTCTGGACTCTTCCAGGTTAAGATCTTCACAATCTGTGTGCGCCCCATCTGATTTGCAGCCTGGAAGGACATAAGACCTGCATGTGGCCTCCTAAGTGCCCCACCATGGCCCATAGGTCCCATGTGGCTCCACGTGTCCTGGCCTGTGCCCAAATTTCTGGCCTGTGCTCCAGCCACACTGTCCCTCTCGCAGATCCTAGAATGGATTGTTGTTCTCCCCATCTCACAGCCTTTGGTTTTGCTTTTCCCTCTGTCTGGAATACCCTTCCCACCAGGGAAGCCCTCCCAACTTTCCCGGACTCCATCAGGTGCCCCAGTAATGCTCTCAGAACCCCTAGAATCGGTCCTTTGTTACCGAAATATTATCTGTGTAATTATTTGATTCGGGTTAACCTGTCCTGTTAGACTGAAATCCCCATGAGGACAGGAACCAGTCTGTAAAAGTCACCAGTGCTGGAAAGAGGGAGAGTGGCCCCACAGGTGTTTTTCTCCACAGAGGCCAGTGGACAGACCATAGCAAACACCCATCAAGCTGCAGATGGCCAACAGACTAACCTTTTCACTGATCGTCTTAATCTTGGACTTCAGCCGCCAGGCCAGTTCAGGAAGCTGAAGATGAGAGGAAGCCAGAGCAGGTCAGCTGGAGAGGAGAGGGGAGATGCATCTCCAGCAGCCCCACTACTGGGATCCCCAGAACCCCAGAAAAGCTGGGTGGGCCTGGTGGTCCAGGCTACATGTTTGTTACTGGTGGAACACAGCACTATGTCAGCTGCTGGGGGCATGCGGTCCCTGCTGGCCTGGAGTTTTACTGTGAGTTGGTGGCGGTTGTGGACCTGTGGGCAGGTCCCTGCTCCTGAAGGACACAGAGAAATGATCTAGTTCTTAGTATAGTCACGAATGTGGTTGCTAGTGACCACTCCTCTTTTTTTTGCCATCTCAGCCCCTTACTCTGAGTTCTAATCCTCAAGAGCTTGATTGTCTGCTGGCTGTCAGCTGACTTGAAGTCTTGATACTCTCCTATAACTTTGGGCCAAACTTTCCCCTCTGTGGGTCTCAGTTTCCTTATCAGTCAACCTAGAGGAGGTGGCATACCCTACTTGACTAGTGGTGGTTGCCTGCTGTGCTGTGTTGATAAGGATTCCAAGACTGTCTTAGCCTCTAGGCTCAATAGGAAGGGCCCTGATCGATTCGCGATGTCTGCTATGGGCCCCATAATGGACAGCAGCAACACAACTGCCATTCCTGGACCACTCAGTATCTAAGATACCCTTTGGCTAGACAGGACTGTTATTTGGTAGAAGAGGCAGATGTATCAGGTTCCAGAGGGCAGACTGGAGCTGGATGTTACAGGGAAAGTTACAACTTCAGAGCTATATGTCAAAGGCGAAGACTACTACGGGAAGGAGGGGGCTCTCCGTTACTAGAGGGGTTTAAACTGAGCTTGACAGAGGATTCGTGATCAGGGGCTTAGGGCAGGGGTTTCCAAACCACCCTCACTCCCCAGCCATGGAACTGGGCTGCACAGCACGGGGTGAATGGCGGGCGAGTGAGTGAATCTTCATCTGTATTTGCAGCCGCTCCTCAGCCCCACTTCAGATCATCAGGCATTAGATTCTCATAGGAGTACCGGTTCCCGGTGCCAGAAAGGTTGGAGACCTCTGGTATATGGGGTCCTTGCACCCCCTTTGATTCAGGAAATTCCTATGATGCAGTAGAGGTGCCTCCATCCTCTCTCCCATGCCAAGGCTTACCACATAGTCCAACAGGACCATGAATTCTTCTGGAGGGAGCAAGGCAACTATTACAGCATTCACCACATCCTGCCTCACGGTGAAGCTGAGAGGGGCTCCGTTCAGGGTAGGCATTGTCAGGGAAACTGCAGACTTATTAAACCAGTTGGTCACATTTCCTTCTGAGTCCAACAACTTGGCCTAAAGAGACACAAAGCAGAGAGGTGGCTGGGTACTTTAACTCCACAGCTTACCTAATAACCACCTAGAAGGAAACACCACCACTCAGCCTGTTTTCCTTTTTGCACTTGCTTCCAGGAAGCTTAGCCTGTAATTCCGTGCCTTGCTGTAGGTGATGAGTTATCTCAGGGGCCTAGCAACATCTATTCCACCTGCACCCCTTAGATATTCTCTGATTTTTTAAAACCTTAGATGTCTTATTTGATATTTAGGTTTCAACTTCTCAGCTACCTTGCAAACCTTTTGGATGAAGGAAAAATCCAAAATTACAACGAAATGGATGGAAATGTTTGATGCTGCAGTTTTCTAAGGGATCCATGAAAACTGATCTGGGATTCAAGCTGCCCAGGTTGGCCTGGTCCCTTAGGGAGTCCAGCCCCAGTGTAAATGTGTAGCTCCACATTTTACAGAGAACTGACAGTCACTGGCCTCCTCCTGCCTGCCAGACCCTGTGCAGTCTCATTTCAAGTTCTCTTTTTGGTGACTATTATTATCTACATTTTACAGATGAGGACACTGAGGTTCAGAGAGGTGAAGAAACTTGCCCAAAGTCCCACAGCCAGAGAGTTGTGGAGCTAGGAGAGAAACTTAAGTCTGTGTGATCCTCAATGACATATTTTGATCCTGGTCTCTTCTTTCAAGGAAACCAGATATTTGGGGATTGGCAAGGGCTTGCCTGAGAGAAAGGCCAAGAGCCCCAGTACACATACTCTGGCCCCTGACTGAGGAAATCAGCGTCAGAGGGCAGATCACTAGGATCAGTGCTCTATGCGTGGCCCTTAGATTCTACCCGCTGTTTTTTCTCCCTTAGAATGGTTTACACAGGACGTGTTCAGCTTGTTGAGATTTTTCTACATCAGCCTGTGTGTCCTAACCATGAACAGTGTTTTCTCCCCTGAAACAGACCCATGGTGTCTGATCCTTGGTGGTCAGAAAAGGGCAGTGGTGTCCCCAATTTACTCTCAAGTTCCCATGACACTCACCGCGAGGTTGAGGTGGATGACATTACTCTTGATGGCGAGAGACAGAAGGTCAAACTCCATGTGGTCAGAGCTGAGGGAAACGGGCACTGCTCAGGGACAAGAAGAAAGTTCTGTGAGGGTGGAGGGAAGCATTGGATGGGGTGGTTTGGGGGCTGCTTTTGGCTGGAACTGCATTATCGCACTGGGGCGGGGGATAAGTAGGGAGGAGCAGTGGTAATGATGATGTTGGTAATGACAATGATGAAAATGACATTTACTGAGTGTATATCGAGTGCCAGGTGCTGTGCTAAAACTTTACATGTGTTAGCGCATTTAAACTTCACAAAGAACCTTACGAGGTAGGTCCGATTTTTACACCCATTTTACAGATGAGGAAACCAAGGTTCAGAAAAGTGAAATGATTGCTCATTTGAGCCCAGTTGGTTCTGTGCCATCATCCTGGTTTGGAACAAAACTGACCCCTTGCTTGTAACTTTTCACCTCCCCATCAGACAGCAGTTTGCACTCAGGCAGGGTCTGGATCTGTCCACTGGATCACGTGTGTTCACCTGGGGATTCCCCACGTCGCCACCGGGGAGCAGTGGCGTCTCATCTGTCCAGGCCGGTGAGTGGGGAATAGGCAGGGCAGCAGAGGGGGTGCAGGGGCAGGAGAGGAATTTGTCCTTCCCCATCCCCAACCTCCCACTCTGCCCTTGGGGAGCAGAGGAGTCCGAGAGACTTCAGTTCTAGCCACAGTAGCCTTGGGTAATCTCACCACTTCAACCTCATTTTCCTCATCTTGAAATGGGAGTATAATAGTAATATTTCTCTCCTAGGTTGTACAGGACGGGTACCTGGTAAAGTTGGCTTGAATCTGAATTATACCAGACTTGGAATTTGAAGAATGGGTTTAAGTCTTCCCCTATCGCTAACTTCCTTTGTGAACTTGGACAAAATGACTTAATTTCTCTGAGCCTCAGTTTCCTTATCTGTGAATTCAGGTAATGATCACTACTTGATGGTGTTGTCTGTGGAGTCAGCCAGGTAGTGTATAAAACACCCAGCTCAGTATTTGCTCTGTGGATGCTTAATGCTACTCATTCCATTCTCTTCTTCCCACTCTCCTCTGGTCGCCCCTTTGGATGAGCTGCTTCAGATCCCAGAACGATAGGTGGTAGAATTTTCTTCTTCCTGGCAATCCCCACTCTGAGGGGTGTGAGCACAGCAGAATTTCGAGGCGGGAGGCAGAAGCCTGTGTCCTCCCATCTCTGCTGCTCTCAGGGAGAAATGGCTTCCTTCTTGAGCACCCATCTCATCTCTGCCCTTGTTATCTCTTCTCTAATAGCCCACAGTGGTTGCTGTATCAATCATTCGTCCATTTAGCACCCTTTTGAAAACACTTCTCTGTGTCAGACAGAGCACCTGCTATGTGCCCAGAACCTTTCTGTAAATTTTTAATCCTTGCTAGCAATTCTGTGAGGTAGGGATGTGTGAGCCCCTTTTACAGATGAAGAGCTGGGATTTGAACTTGGGTTTATGTGGGGTATCCACTGGCTCACATGGAAACTTGCATATAGTGAGTACCGGTGAAGTTGTGTTCAATTTCTGCCTGCTCATCCCAGGCAGAGATCAACTGATGCTTCTCCCACCTGCTGCCTGGGCTGGGTTGCTACTCAGGCCTGACTCCCCCTGGGCAGAGTCAAGGACCCGCAGTAAAGGAAAAGGGTGGGAGGGAGCAGTGCACTTACTCATCACCAGGCGCAGGAGGTCTGCATACATGTCCTCAAAAGCCGCCTTCATTATGGGACACAGCTGTAACAGCACAAACGCAGGGGCTTCATCAGTGAGGGGGCCTGGACAAAGCCCTGTAGTTATCCATGTCTGGCCCACACGGCCTGAGTCCCACCATGGTGCCCACAGCCAGCCAGGTTTTCATCCATGGCATTGAGGACTCCACTCTCCCAGCCATCTCTACTGCTCAGAACCCGCTCCAGCCCCTTGTGTCACCTGGAGTCTTTTGCAATGATTTGCCCTTTGTCCTATGCCCTGGGTGCACCTGGCCCACCAGGTACCCTCGCTATCAGACTGCTCATCTTGCTCTCAAGAGCCCATGTTTTCCATGAGAGGGAGATGGAGAAGTCATTCTTTCGTTCACTTATTCATTTAACATGTCATTACTGAGTTCCTTCAGCATGTCAGAATCTACAACAGAGGCTGGCAAGATAGACCCAACCAGACTTGTGAACAATCTCATTCTGACCTTTGTGGGTTTCTAGCCGCAACACATTCCTTTTGCCCACTGAACTCTCTTCACCCCCAATTGCCAGCAATTTTCATCAGCAGTTTTGTCTCCCAGGAGACATTTGGAAATTTCTGGAGACATTTTAGTTGTCATAACTTGGGCAGTAATTTACTAGTATTTAGTGGATAGAGGCCAGGGATGCTACTTAATATCCTGCAGTGCACAGGACAGCCCCCACCACAAAGAATTATCTGGTCCAAATGTCAATAGTGCCAAGGGCAAGAAAACCTTGGCCTAAGCTAATCCTGGCCTTGCCTGTTCTGCTAAGGAGGAGGTTAAACATTTACTTGCCTGTGGGACCCAAAAGCCTTGTTTTCTGCTCTAGGCAGTCCATTTTCCAGGTCAGTGCTCTGAGATTTTTGTCATTTTTGTCTTAGGTACAACTTCTCCAGTGGAAGAACCTTCTGGTTGACCACCCATTGCTACTCTCAAGAAAGGACATTGTACTTTGAGAAATGTTAACTTTTTCTGTGAAAAACCCATTCCCTGCTCCTAGCTGCTTTGCCAACCCAGGACCAGAGAGGATGGAGGACTTGGGCTCAGAGACCTCCAGCATTCGCTGCCAAGGGACTGCCCATTCCTCACGAGAAAGGTGTCCCAGGTAACCTTTGCATCTTCTCCCAGATTGCGCCTTTCTTTAATTTCACCAGTGGGTCTCAACACTGACTACACATTAGAATCCTCCAGCAGGCAAGCTAGAATCCTTTGGGCTACTAAAGCCCCACCCAGACTAAATAAATCTGAATCTCTGAGGAAGAGCCCAGATATCAGTACAGAAGTCCCAATTATCCTCAGGGGATATGTTCCAAGACCCCCAGTGCGTGTACCAAACCACGGATAGCACCGAACCCTACATATACTATGCTTTTCCCCTCTCCATACATATCTTGGACTTAAAAGAAGCACTTCATGGCTTCTCTTTGGTGTATCCAAATTGTCAGCATCACTACTCTTGTGCTTTGGGGCGATTATTAACTAAAATAAGGGTTACTTGAACACAAGTAATGCGATACCATGACAATCTGATAACCAAGATGGCTACTAAGTGGCTAACAGGTGTGGAGATGCTGGGCAAAGGGGTGATTCACATCCCAGGTGGGATGGAGCGGGACAGTTTGAGATTTCGTCACGCTACTTAGAACAGTGCATAATTTAAAACTCATGAATTATTTATTTCTTGAATTTTTCCATTTAATATTTTTGGACTGTAGTTGACCACGGGTAACTGAAACCTTGGAAAGCAAAACCACAGATAAGCGGGGGACTACTGTGTTTTAAAAAATCTTCTCAGGGGGTTCCGATGTGCAACTGAAGTTGGGACCCATGTATTTATACTTGACGGGGCTTCAACATTTTCTAGATGGGCTCCTATCGGATTTCAATGTGCTGCACCTTTTCCCTTCACATCTAGTAAAATATTCACATGACCATCATATCAAACCCAGCGAGTCTCGACGGGAAACCATGATGATTAACGGAAAGCCAGTTCTCTCATATCCTTCACTATATGTGGCTTTTCACTCTTAAAAACAGATATCATACAAAAAACATTTTGTAATCCCAAGTTTTTGCTATCTTTTCTAGTAAATGCAAAGTGTAGTAAATGTAAAAAAATACATTTTTAGCTATCAAAGTATGATGCCAGTTAAAGTGTGGTTTTGCTAGAGGCTTGGAAGAGATTTCCACCTGGGCCCTACTTCAATAAACTTCCACTTTTAAACAGAAAAAAAAATTCTTAAAAGAAAAAATATCTCATGTAAGAAAAGCTAAATTTTACAAAATTATTCACTTTCAGATTTCTTTAAGAAGGCTCTCTAGAATGGTTTAGTAAAGTATTAAATATGATGCAGCTTTTACAATAATTATGAATATTGTACAATGCAATAAAAAATAGATGTAACTTAAAGAATATCGTCTGATTGACACTGAGTGCAGCCACATAAAAAATATGAGTGCATTTGGATGGAGATCGGATGGCAATATGCAACAGAGAAACTAGCTACCAAGTTAAGGTAGAAGGATTATGGGTATTTTTTCCCCAAAGTTGTTTAGTTATATTATCTTTTCATTTCAAAAAAGTTTTATTATAGAAAACGTATTAGTTATATGATAAGCTGTTTTGAACCATAGGAGGCCCACTTTTGTGAACACATCTTGGAACTTATAGTGGAAATCAATGGTCAAAGTGGGTGAATCCACCTTATAGAGTTTTAATTTACCTGTGGTGTATAAAGGGCATATAAAATGAGATAGACTCATGTTTACTAACTCAGAAAAATAAATCCAACAGGACCTGGTGGTGAAGACCACAGTTTGGTATGAGACACTGGTGTGCTAGCGCCGGCTTGAACCAGTTTGTGAGGGCCAGTTGTTAAATTTCCAGCAATTTCTGAGCTGGGTACTAAAACTAGACATTATTAAAAATTAAATTATATTAACTTACAATTAAATAAATTATATCAAAACAAAGTTAATGAAATCTCAAAACTCATTACTTCCTAATTAGTTTGTTATGTCTTACTATTATTTCTTGCTCTTGAGGTTATTTATGTCTGTCATATCTGTGTGGTGGAAATACCATACAATAGTGTGCTGCTTTGTAGTTCTTCCCAGTTTGGCTCAGTGACATCACATTAGTCGCTTGAAGTTGGTCTTGGAGGGAGTGTTTACACCAGGAAATAAGCAAATGCTATAAATCTGGGCTTCCTCCCCTCAGCTGCTCCAGAGTCAATTGTTAACAGTTTATTAGCACAGCTCTGTTCAAGGTCTTCTGGCTGACTTTTGGCATTTTTATTATCTTGCTCTCAATGATCCATTGCTGAAAGAATTATCCAGGCCCAAGGTTTCCCACTCAAGGAGACACGGGTCCCTTAGCACCAGCTTGCATTTCCACCCCAGCCCCACAGGGGAAACAATCTTTGCAGGCCAGAAAGGAGGTCCTAATTCCACTCACCTGGCTTTTCACCAGTTTGGGAAGGGCTGGCACCAGGAGGTTCCTGATTTTGTTGGCTAAAGAGTTGACCAGGATGGAGAATCTTCCAGACAGAAGGAGAGAGAGATTAGGAAAGGTCAGAGATGATTACTCCTCCCCTGTTTTACAGAAGGGGACACTGAGTCCAAGAGGGGAAGGAACTTGCCCAAGGTTACATGGCCTGTTAGAGACGGGGCTGGGAGTAGACCCTGAGCCAGGTGTGGATGGTGGCAGAGAGTTCTCAGGGAGCCAGGGCTGGGGGTTGTCACAGAAATCTGTGCAGGACACTTGGATGATGGCAATTGGCATTTCTCCCCATTCTCCTGTTAAGGAGAAGTGAAGGGAAGCAACACATTCTTGAGCTCCTACTGCGTGCGAGGCACTCTGCTGAGTGTTTACTTATGGCTGTGGCCTGAGCTAATCCTCTCACTGCAGCTTGGAAGATGCAGTGCAGGGAGGCGATTTGCCCAGTGTCACCCAGACAGTAAATGAGGAGATGCATTTGCCTGACTCCAAAGCATGTTTTTACCCATGGCTCCACTAAAGCCTGCCTGGGGGTGGTTTGAGGGGCCCTAGGAGGGTGGCTCCTCTGCACCTTTAAAGGTTTGCCCCACTTTCTGGCATGATGCTTGAAATCCCACCATTATGGCTTCCATCCTTGCTGTCTTAAACTTTTTGGGCATCACATATTCCCTGAAAGAAGCCCCATATCAAGAGTCAGGAAGGACAGTCCCTTTCTTTCTTTGAGCATCAGTGTTTTCCATCTGTAAAATGGGGAAGGGCCACCACCCGGCTTCCCTCCCAGGCATGGAGGTAGCCTAGCCAGAGGTGGCCACACTCACTTTTGCAGCATGCTGATTCGCACGCTCCCGTGCTTTGTGGAGCAGTCTTCAAGAACGAGTTTGGGGTGACCCATCTTGCTGGTCTCCTCTCTGATGATGGCTTGGGCCACTGTCTCCATGTGTATCTCCACAAGGCTCTTTATCAGGGGCCTGGGATCGGTGGTGCCCAATGCTGTGAGCACCATCCCAGCCCCAGGATGGAGCAAACCTCTTGTCCCGCTTTGTCTTCTGGCTCTCTCACCTCCCTTCTCAAACTCCATTGCTGGGTACTCCTCATCTCCCCCATTTTTTTTTTAACCCCAGCATGTCCCAGGCTCAGTTTTTTTGATTTCTCTCCTGATTTAAATCCCTTGCATGTGACAACAGTTTCCTAATTTATACTCAACTTCATACCCAGGTGTCTTACAGGCACCTTAAACTTAACACGTACAAAACGAACTGTGGATCCTTCCTAAACCTGCTCCTTTCATGATCTTCCCCGTCTTGGTTGCCGGGCACTCAATCCTGCCAGTTGCACAAGCAAAAACCTTTGAGTCAGCTTTGACTCTTCAATCTCCCTCTCTCTCCACCCACATTCAGTCATCAGGATTCAATTTTGTTGTCTCTACCTACCTCCCAAACATATCCAGCATCTGACCACCACTCACCACCTTCCTGCCCCCAAACCCTCCTCCAAGCTTCGGTAGTTTCTGGATAACCTCACTGCCTCCATTCTGGCCCCTATACACAGCAGCCAGAAGGACTGTTCAAAATGTTAAACCATAGCACGTCCCTCCTCTGCTCAGAATGCTACACAGCTCCCATGTCATTCGGTAAAAGCCAAGTCCTCACCTTGGTCCACAATGCCCTTATGATCTGGTCTCAGCTTCCTGCTGGCCTCACCTCCCACCATTTTCACTCTCTCTCCCCACTCTCTTTGCCATTCTTTGAACAAAGCCAGTGCACTCTTGCCTCAGGCCCTTTGCCCTGGCTCTTCCTTTTACTTAGAACTCTCTTTTCCAGATACCTGCGTGGAGGAAAGGGGGAACGAGTGGGCGAAACTGTCAGGTTTGCTGTGCCTGACTGAGGGGATACTCACGTGTTGAGTCCGGCCACCATGTCCAATGGGACTTGGACCACTATCTCTTGACCATTAGCTGAGGGTTGCACCCACAGCTGGAGGACGTTGGCTGAGGTGACTCTCAGCCTGAATGGGAGATAGGAGAGAAGAGATTCATCTGAGCATCATCTCCAAACTTGATCTCCATCTTTCCTGTCCCCCCTGGTGCCCAGCCAGCAGCTGGACCCAAGCCCTGTCCGCTGACTCCTCCTAGCATAGTCTTGCCTCAACCCTCCCCCCACTCCTGCTCACAACACTCCCACAGCTTCCCCTTCACTTAGGAGATGAATCTCAGCTCCTTGGGCTGACTTGTAAGACCTTCTTTGACCTGTCTCTTCTGACCTTCCAGTTGTCACCTTGGGGTTCGAGCATCAGCCATTCTGACTGACTCTCATCCCTCTATGCCTTTGCCTAGGCTAGCCCTCTACCTGGACTGCCATTTTTCTTACGAAATCATTGGCTCACCTGTCACCTCTATGAGAAGAGTCACCTTATCTCTTCACCCTCTCACCCCATCTCTTCACCCTCTCACCCCAGATGACCTTCCCCTGGGGTCGCCCTATTAGGGCTCCTGTGTGACTCTCTTATAGTTATTATTAACTCCTCTGGGAGCTTCTGAAAAAAGAGACTTCATTTGTTAACATGCTTTCCAGTCAGGCATAGAGTCGACACCAATTGATGCTTGTTA